CGGCTGATGAACAAAATTAAAATTATTTGTCACCATTGTTGCTAAAAGAAGAAAAAATACTCATTCTTTTGATGCTTGAACACGAGTTGATAAAACCCAAATTCGAATATCAAAAGTTATGATGATAATTTGGAATCTTCTTGTCAAAAATTCAAGACAGAATTAAATGAGACATTTGTAGAGAGAATTTTAAGAAAGAAAGAAAAACAATAAAAACAAAAAAAAAGGACAAAAAGATAAAAAAAAATGTACTCTGTATACATGGATAATTTTAATTTTGTTGGTCTAGCTGGTGGAGAGGCTGCAAGAAGAGAAGAGGCTGGAGCAAATAAGAAGAAAGGAGAGAACAGAAGCATACTTATACATGACCGTTAATGTACTTCTCGAAGATAGCTTTGACGGTCACCAGGGCAACGATCTGTACGATCCAGAACATGCGCTTTATCGTGTATTTCGTGTGCGTAAACAAGCAACTCTACACGAATTTCTAGAAGTGCTCAGTGAAAGTTTGGTAAGCAATTTTTTGTTAACTAATATCATTTCTTTCTTAAATTTATGATATTTAACATATTTTATGGAACCTTATCTTTTAAATATTATATAATAAATATTGTCTATTAAATAATAAATTTAAAGTACTTTTTAACATTTAGGATATAATGAATTTGATATGTATATACTTGTGGTAAGTATGAAAATTCAACACTATCAGTTTGATTATTAATTGAAGAAACAATTATTTTATTCCAAGTTAATCATCCAGCATGTTTATGGAATATTTTAATTTTTCTAAGTGGAAAATTTACTATCATCATCATCTAAATTTCTCACATTTATTATTTTCTTTAGAAATATCCAATAGAACAAATTCGTATCTGGCCGTTCAGTCTACGATCAAATCAAACCTGTCGACCGACACTTATTGAATTGGAAGCGGATCTACAAAAATCAATTTCTGATTGTGCAGAAAGTCTAAATCCATGGAATGTTTTCGTAGAACTTGTTCCACCCGATTCGGAACTTAAAACACTGCCATCATTCGATAAGGACACTGATGTTTTGTTATTTTTCAAATTATACGATCCCAAGAATAAAAAAATACACTATTGTGGTCATCATTATATGCCCGTGACAGCTAAAGTCCGTAAGTTAATTTAGAATATAAAATAGTTAATTTATAAAAATGTAAAATATGTATTTTTTTGTTTTCTATTTTTGAAAATTATTTAAAAACAAATTTATTCTAATTGATGGAAAACAAATTTAACAGAGGAACTGATACCAATATTAAACGAAAGAGCGGGTTTCCCTCTTGACACCGAACTTGCATTATATGAAGAAATCAAACCGAATATGGTCGAAAAAATTGAAAATCTAACGGAACCTTTGGAAAAAGTTCTCGAGGAATTGATGGATGGTGATATTATCGTTTTTCAAAAGGAAGAACGAGATAATAAAATGTACGAGCTACCAACTTGTCGCGATTATTTCAAGTAAGTTTAAATAATATTATTTTGAAAATTTATATTATTACATAAGTAATAACTAATATTTTGTAAAACTCATCAGAATTTGAAGAAAATGGAATTTTTATCTTTTTCCAGGGATTTATTCTATAGGGTAGAAGTGACTTTTTGCGACAAGACAATTCAAAATGATCCAGGATTTACAGTTGAGCTCTCATTAAGAATGACTTATGAGCAAATGGCAAAAGCTGTGGCACAGCGACTTTGTACAGACCCATACAGCTTACAATTTTTCAAATGTCAAAAGTAAGTTTCTTACTTTTTCTGAGGTACAAATTTTTTATGCAAAAAAAAAACAATTATTATTTTTAATTAAATTCAATAAAAGGTTAAATGAAAAATAATTCTCCTATTTTCACAGTTACAAAGATTTGCCTGGACATCCATTGAAATGTACATTCGAAGGAACACTCAAAGAACTTATTGCTTATTGTAAGCCAAAGACAAAGAAAATCTTTTATCAACAACTTAGTATTCGAGTTAATGAACTTGAGAATAAAAAACAATTTAAATGCATTTGGGTTCCTCCTTCATTAAAAGAAGAGAAGGAAATTATTCTCTATCCAAATAAAAATGGTACAGTGGCAACACTATTGGAGGAAGCAAAGAAACAAGTTGAATTTTCAGAAAATGGTTCGGGACGATTGAGGTTATTGGAAATAAGTTGCAATAAACTTTCACCTGGTCCTAAAGACGATGTCCCATTGGAAAATTTAAATTCGGGCAGTAATAAAATTTATAGGATAGAAGAAATTCCAAAAGACGAACTTAATTTAGCCGACGATGAAATGTTAGTTCCAGTTGCGCATTTCAATAAGGAAGTATTTTCAACGTTTGGCATTCCCTTCTTTTTCAAAATCAAACACGTTAGTATTTATCATATATGTACTTTGTACAATTAAAAATGTTAATTTAGAAAATTAAATAGCGATTGTGAAAAAAACTAATTATAATTTTTTCATTTTTTTAAAGGGTGAACTTTTTTCCAAGGTTAAGGAAAGGTTGTTTAAAAAGCTCGGAGTGCAAGAAAAGGAATTCGAGAAGGTAAAATTGCAAATTATTAATTTTATCATTAAATTTGTAAATTTTGACTCTTTTTTTATTAATTGACGAAACTGAATTTCAAATATGTAAAATTCAAATTTTAATGTTTGCAGTTCAAATTTGCTGTGGTCTCTTTGGGTAAACCTCAATTTATTGAATCGCCAGAATATAGCATTGACATTAGTGATTTTCAAGTAATGCAAAGTGCGAGTAAGTTTTCAAAATTTTATTTGTTAAAAAAAAAACTTTAATTGAATTTCTTTTTTGATACTGAGAAAAAAATGTTATAGTATTTCCTCTATCGGCTGCGGGTTCATCGCCCGTGAGGCCCTGGATTGGCTTGGATCACGTCAACAAAGCACCGAAGCGATCACGAATTAACTACCTCGAAAAAGCCATTAAAATTTACAACTAAAAAATTTCGACTTCTAATGAAAACAAAAATGCAGATTAGGCAACCACACGATAATTTATACTACATTATGTATAGTAAAAAAAACAACGTTGTATTTGTATGCTATAAAATTGAGGATTGAAATTGGCGCTCTTAATTCGGTCGGTTTTTCGGTTAGCCGTCATTGTAATTTTTAAATATTATTATTATTATTATAATTATTATATAGTTAAAAACAAGTATCGAGATAAACACGAGCTTTCGTTTCACAAAAAAAAGAAAAACGATACAAGAGAGACTGCATATAAAACACGTAGTGATTTAACGATGTGAAAAAAAAGTATGATTTGACTTTTTAAAAATAGTCAAAGATTTTACGTGATTAATTCTTACCGAAAATACTGGCACGATATTTTAAAAGTTGTCTGCAATTTTTATTCTGCATTTAAAAAAAATTTCATTTTCAATTCTTGAAATTTGATTTTTTTCATTATTGAATTGAAAATAAGAATGGCTGCTTTTTGTATTTTAAAAGCGTAAAATCTTTGTGAAAAAAAAAGTTTTGCAAAATGCAGCGAAATAACGTGTAAAGTAATAATTTCATGCGACAACATAATCTTCACAAAACACACACTTCGCTAGATAGTTTTTATCAAATCCTTGGATTATTTCTCTTTATCCCTATTTTGTAATATATATATTATATATTTTTTTTTGTTTGAGATAGTGTCTTTTTGTTTGATATACAAGTATACTCGATGCAATTATATTTTTCTTTGCTAGGTCGTCGACAAAGCGAATGAACTGAACATTCTACAGAATGAAAAAAAAGAAAGAGAAGTTGATTTATTATTTTTGATGAAACTAGAGTCATTTTAATTTAATTGACAGAACGTCAAGACAACAAAATAAATACAGATATTTCAAAATATTTTCGGGTCCTTTTTAATTTTATTAATCAATTTATTCAATGTAATAAATTAATTTTATTTTTTAAATTAAAAATTATTTTATTTTTACATGGCTCGGATGCAAATTTTACATAATTTGTACTTTAAAAATATTCTGAATTGGCTTTTTTATTTGATATTACGATTGTATTTGTAAAAAAAAAAAATTATGTCTTGACGAACTGTTAAATATTGAAAATTAGAACAAGTAATTTTTGAAAATTTTTATGCAGGAAACTATTCAATTTGACGGCAAATTAAAGAAGAAGAAGAAGAAGAAAAAACCTTATATAAATAATTCGTTTGTTGTTAAGTAAAATGGAATATACTATCAGCTCCAAAATTACTATTCAACAATCGCTTTTAGATGTTTTACTCGAGATCGGTACAGATTAATAAAATATGGCAGCAAGCTATTCACAATCGAATTATGCAAAGGTCTTATCACTGTAACTTATTAGTTGCTTCTTAAAAAGAAAAAACAAAAAACAAAAAAAAACAATGTGAGAAGAATGTATGGGGATATGGACTTTAATTCTGATTCGATATCATCATTGTTGATTACTTAATATTTTTCAGAATATAATATTACCACATCACCAAATTGTCGTTTTTAATCGATTAATATTATTTAATTAATTTTTAATATTTGAAATACTAACGCGAATTTTTATTCGTAAATTTATTTTACATTTATTTATTTCGTAGAAATTGTAAAATAAAATAACACCCTTATAGTGTAACGAGAATAGTTTTGCGATAAGATAAGAAGAAACGTTTAATAATAAAGTATAAAGTTGAACTAGTTTTAAAAAAAGTAAAAATGTTTTTAACATATTCTTAATATTGAAGAATTGATTATAAGCAACTATAGAAAATTTTCAAGTTGTACACTTTGTACTTAGTTTACAAGACCGGATTTCTAGTTGTTAAAAAAACGAAATGAAAGTAGAAAAAGCCGTCTTTCCAGCTTCTATTTTTCTTTAAACTGATACAGGTTTACAGTATTATTTCTTTTTACATTTCTATTATATTCGATGAGACTTTAAAGATATTTTTTTTCTTATTTGCATTTTAGGTATTAATTATTTTCATCTTGTACTGCAACTTGAAAAGAAGTCGAGTAAGGATTTCCACTTTAAACTGTTATCGATAAAGATGTAAGTAAACTTTATTTATTCATAAAAATATGAAAATTCATTCAATTTCTTTAAAATAATTTTTTTTTAAATAAAAATCTATTTAGTGAAATTATTATTTATGAAAATAATTAATGTTGAAAGACATTGTACTAGAGAATTATTATATTTAAATTAATTAGACTATTTAAAATTATTTTAATAAAAAAATATTACATTTTTATAAAAAAATGAATTTTTATATACATTTTTTCAAAATATTTCCCGCGTTACGCAAGCGTATTTGAATTAAGGATATATAGGTTATCTTAAATTTACGTAAATGAACAAAACAATTTCTATATACTGTATGTTGAAATGATTATTGCTAATTAAAAAGATATGGGAGTAGATTAAGTACCATTTTTTTGAATATATGATTCCAGAAAACAAGCAAACATGGCTGTAAATCGTTTCAATTTGAATCGCGGCACTTTGCGATTGGTTGGAAATTTATTTTCCCGCTGTCAAGTACCAATTTTTGCCCTTCAAGGTCAATTTTCAGATGTAACGACCATTTGTCAGAAGAATTTACATCTTTCATCTTACAACACCTCAAAAAACGTGAGTAATCAAATAACAGAAGAAATTTATTATAAATGCGCAAATAAAATTCTATTCTTCTCGTTCTTAAATTTTAATTTTAGTTTGATTTAAGTTTCTTATTATTGTTTTTATTCTCTGGTATGAATTTTTAAAAAAATTCTTAAAACCACGTGTTGCTTCATGAAAATTGATATTATCTTATTCGCAATCATTTTAGAATGATAAATATCAATATTATTTATAAATATCATTTAAGAGCGTTAATTCTTCAAAAACAACTTTTAAAACAATATATAAAAAAAATTGTTTACAAATTTATTGTGTCATTTTACCACATACGGAGGGTTATATCATTTGAACTCTGAATATTTAGTATTATTTACATTTGATAAACTAGCACGATATAAATTCGTCATTTACAATCAGTTCAAGTCCAGTTGTTGCCTAAAGAAGATTGCAAAAAAGAAAAATTTTTGCTAGTTAATAATTGTCAAATAATAATTTAATCGTAAGTTTTTATTATTAAATTGATGTATGAATGCTACTCCAATTTATTTCAATTAAGACAAGTTCTTCTTCACTCTACTCCGAATCTTTATTTTTTATAAAAACATTTTTAAAAAAAGTCGAAAGATAAAAACAATAGTTTAATTGTTTTAAAAGTTGTTTTTTTAAATTTGTTATAAAATAAAATATAATTAAAAACTTTTTACATAAACAAAATATTCAATATTTTCTGTAAACTTGTTTGAAAAGGACAAGTATTGTCCACTAGAAGAAAAAAAAACGATAAAGAGTTTGCCTTATCTGCAATTCAGCTTCTTCATTTTCTTATCGAAAACATTGATAATTTTTCTCCCACAAATTAAAAATTTTTGTTTTAAAATAATTTTAGAATAATCAATGAAATATTTTCCAAATTTTTTATGACAATTTTATAAATAATTAACGTATGAGCAATTATTAATTATTTTAAAATAATTAAAACAGAATATGGCAGCATTGCTGAAGAAGAATCTCTGGGAAACCGATCCCGAATTATTTGAAATCATTAAGAATGAGAAGAAACGTCAAACAACTGGTTTGGAAATGATCGCTAGCGAAAATTTCACTTCTCTAAGTGTTCTTCAATGCCTTGGTTCATGTCTTCATAATAAATACAGCGAAGGTCAACCAGGCCAAAGGTATTTTAAAGAAATGATTAAAAAAATTAAAGATTAATTTTTAACAAAAATTGTTTTGATAATAATTAAACTTTCAATTTTTTGTACAAATTTTTAGATATTACGGAGGAAACGAATATATAGACGAAATTGAAATTTTGGCTCAGAAAAGATCATTGGAAGCATTCAATTTAAATCCCGAAGAATGGGGTTGCAATGTACAACCATATTCTGGAAGTCCAGCTAATTTTGCAGTTTATACAGGATTAATTGAACCTCATGGTCGAATAATGGGTCTTGATCTTCCTGATGGAGGTCATCTTACTCATGGTAAAGTATTTATAAAGAAACAATTTTTTTTTTTTATAATTCGATAAACATCTGTGATCTGATATTGGATAAAAAATTATAAAGCTATTCAGTAAAGTTTACAATAAAGAAGATATAAATTGACAGGTTTCTTCACGGCCAACAAGAAGATTTCGGCAACTTCAATATTTTTCGAATCGATGCCTTATAAAGTTGACCCAGTCACTGGTTTAATAGATTACAATAAACTTGCCGACGAGGCAAAACTCTTTAAACCTAAAATCATTATCGCTGGCGTTTCCTGTCACAGCAGATGTTTGGATTATAAACGTTTTAAAGAAATCGCGACGGAAAACAATTCATATCTATTCAGTGATATGGCTCATGTTGCTGGATTAGTGGCAGCTCAACTTATTCCAAGTCCATTTGAATATAGTGACGTGGTTTCTACCACCACGCATAAAACTTTAAGGTAATTAATTTTTTTAACAAGAAATTAATAATTAAATTTTCAAAACTTTTACTACTTTTTTTTACAGAGGCCCACGAGCTGGTGTTATTTTTTATCGAAAAGGAGTGAGAAGTATCGGAAAGAATGGCGAGAAAATAATGTACGATTTGGAGAGTAAAATTAATCAGGCAGTATTTCCAGGACTTCAAGGTGGTCCTCATAATCATGCTATCGCAGGAATAGCTACAGCAATGAAACAAGCTAAAACTCCCGAATTCAAAGAATATCAGAAACAAATTATTGCAAATTCAAAACGATTGTGTTCGGAACTTCAAAAACGTGGTTATAAAATTACAACTGATGGAACTGAAGTGCATATGATTTTGGTGGATTTAAGATCAACTGGAATTTCAGGTGCTAAAGGTGAAAAAATTCTCGAAGAAATTTCTATAGCTTGCAATAAAAATACTGTACCCGGCGATAAGAGTGCTTTGAATCCAAGTGGAATTCGACTCGGTACACCGGCTTTAACTACACGTGGTTTAAAAGAAGATGACATTGACAGTGTCGTCGATTTTATCGACAGAGGTAATTGCTTTAAAATTTTAATACATATCTTTTTTTTAAAGCTAATTACTAAAATTAAAAACATTTTTTAGGTTTAAAATTGGCTAAGGAAGCAACAGCCTTATCAGGTCCGAAACTTGTCGATTATGTAAAAGTTTTACAAACAAATGACGTTATCAAGGAAAAAATTACATCACTACGATCAGAAGTAGAAAAATTCTCAAATCAATTCTCTCTTCCAGGCTTCGAAGATTACTAAATCACTTGAATAACACATTGAATACGTTTCAGTATTCACAATAGTAGCTTTTCAACTAAACACACAATTGTTACATTTTTGAACATCTATATTTTAAAAAATCATCCTCATAATTTTCATATTGAAAATTAGGTAGAAAAAAACAAAATAATTTTTCTACGATAAAAACGAATTGTCGAAGCAGTGAATTTTTTTTAACTTCGCATTTATATTTTTCTACTTTTACTTTATATATTTTTTTGGTAAAAATAAATAAGAAGAACCTATTTTAATTCTGATTTTATTGCATGTCGAAATTGTCACATTATTACTTAGCATTTATTTTAATAATTTAATTTAATTTGTCTGTTTAGGATAAAAAAAAAATATTTTCTCTGAGCAGTGTAATTATATTTGATACTATTAATTAAAACTAATAAATATTGCCAATCGTGATATATTTCTATGTTGTGTACAATAATGAATTACGAATATTGATCTCAATTTTATCATTTTTTTATTCCCATTAGAAAATTATTTCAACTTATATCGAGATCATTTCTTTTTTAACTAAAAATACATTGCAGTTTTTTTTGAAATAGATTTCTCATTAAAATCAACACAATTATACTATACCCATTTTCTACGAAAATTGCCTTTAAAAAAAAAATAATAAATTTGTAATTCATAATATAAAGAGAATTTAATATTTCTAATAAAATACTCTTCGAGTTTAATTTTTCTTTCTTTAATAATCAGTATTAATCACTCAAATTAAACAAATATTGCAAAGTTTAAAAACATAAATAATGGCCACAGTTTATTTTCTATTCTTTGCCTATATAAGAGTAATTCAAGTCAGTGGCAGTTAATAAATACGTCGTTCTATCGGTCATTAAAATATTACAATATTACGATTCATTAATAGCAAGAGGTGATTGTTCTTTACATAATAGCTGCGTTATGTTTATTTGTTACAATTCAGCATATGTAAAATAACGATTTTTTTTCTCTCATCTAAACTATATTAGTATATGTAAACAATTCTGATGTAAGAGAGTCTTAAAAAAAAGAAAAAAGAACTTATAAAGGGGGAACTATTTTAAAAAATTGATGCGCCCTAAATTCATAATAGCGCAAAATTTCTTTTTGCACATACTAAAATGTTTTAATATATATATACTATTTAACGTTGTTTTGTAAGTTGCATTCTTGGATTTGCCGTAAGGCTCATGTAAAAAAGATTATACGTGCAATCTGGCAATTATCATATAAATTTATATATATATTACACATGTAGTTGATGAAACAACTTTTAAAAAAAAAAAAAAATTCATTGAGTTTTGCACAAAATTTTAAGAACAGGACGTTTATATTTTTTTACGGAAGTTTCGTGATTACTGTCATGTATTAAAGCAAAGAATTTTTCATTCGGAAGATAACTTGAAGTAAATTCTTCTCATATTTAAAAAAAAGAATAGCAAAACTTTTTAATGTCTGATTTTCAAATTAATTCTTTGGCATCACTATTTAAAATATTCAAAAAAAATTTTATGCGAGGCGAAGAATAAATTGTTAAATAATATTACTTTTTTGATGATTAGAATATTTCTTCTATTTTGCAGGGAGTTGGGGGCAAAAAAAAAGAGATATTTTCAAATATCATAATATAATTAGTTATCTTGAAATAATAGATAACCTTTTGTTAAAAAAAAAAACTTCCAGTAAAGGATATGGGGACGTCAATGTAACTTACAGAAACTAGGTAAAAAAGGGATTCATGATAATTTTCCAAAATTCATTAAAACCGATTTTAATTCAGAATAATGAGTTTTTGAAAATTATTACGCATTCCTTTAAAATTAAACCACGCGATTTGTTAAAAAATTGTTTGTTTTTTTCTACGATACTCTGCCCCAGGTACGTTCACATTTTTACTGTTTTTTTTTTTTTTTTTTTTTTTTTTTTGCACACTGACGTTGTTTATAAAAATGATAATCGTTCTTAAGATAGTTCCAGCATCTAAAACAATTATTTAGTTTTCTTTTTTTATGTCATAAGTGCACTTTGCTGAAAGTATCTGGGGCGTATGAAGGTACATTTCATTTTTTGTTTTTCTTTTATGTTCAACTCACTTACATTCAAGCAGCGCACATGTGATACGCTATCAATCAGTCTAATTCTTGACCAGCTTGAGAGGTAGATGCTGCATTCTGTTCTTCTACATTAAACTCCTCGTCGCCAAGTCCATCAAAAAATGACTGAAGTAGAGAACCAAAAATTCCCTGATTTCGTGGTCGAGCCGGTGCAACATTGAAAAAAAGTTGTCCTATTTTATCCAAATATTGCTCATAACTTGGATCTCTACTAATACATATTCGATATTGTTTGCAGAGAATTGTAAAAACGGCTACTTTTCCTCTGAAAAAAAAATTATTTCATATCATTTAATAATGTAATTGTTATTTTCCAGTAATTGTAAATTTAAATTTATTTTATTATTAAGAAAAAAATTAATATTTCTACTTACGAGTCAATTGTTTTTAGTAGAAAAAATAAAAAGTTCAGCAAAGGATATATATAAGGAGGCCCTTCTATTCGAGGATGTCGTAAAGTATATAAATCAAAAACTTCCTGTGCTGTCGCTTTGTTTGATAGACAAAGATATCTGAATAAATAAACAAAATGTTACAGGTTAAATAACAATTTCTAAATAATATTAATATATTTTTTTTAGTTAAAATATTAATCCAATTGTTAATTATTTTATCGCTTTTCTTACTGTAAAACTGCTTGGGCTATAAAGAGATCAATCTCTCTAAAATATCCTTTTTCCAAATGAAGTTCGACTAGCATAGAGGCATATCCAGAACCGTCTTTACTGCATAAAAAGTGTTGCCTAGCCAAGTAATAGTTTTTTTCTAAAAAGAAATTTAATATTAAAATTTTAAGTCATTAGATTCTCAAATTCTTATTTCAATTTCTCACCATTCCAAAAAACTTCAGCTATCTTTTGATGTAAATCAGGATGTCCTGTTTTATAATTTGTGCCTTTGGCACTCCATCGAAGTGCTTCGTGAACGAATGTTTCTCTCTCCGGTGTCGATGGACTCATTACACTAAGTAAATTTACAATTTCTTTAAAATAACATTCCGAAGGATTCGGCACAGCTTTTGTTAATACATCAATGTACAAAATTCCCAAATCAGCTCCACTTGTGAACTATAAAAAAAAAGTTATTGGAAAACATTAAAATTAACAAATAAAACCTATTATAAGAAAATGAATATTCACGAGAAATCATTGTCAATAATGATGCACAGTCATTCCGATTGATAAAATATTCATCAATATGTCATTTTCCAATAATAGATCTAAATTTTTATTTTAAATTGCAAAAAAGTCAAAGATAACTTTTAAATAATGAGGAATAATTTTAAATAGTTAAAAATATAGATGTAATAAATCATATGTTTTAATGACAACTTGGCAAACTATAAAAAATCAAGGAGTTGCATATGAAAATATAAAATTTATTTCTTGTAGCTCTAATTAAGAATTAATAAATTAAATTACCTGATTATGTTGTGTGAGCAATAGGCATCCTTTATAAAGTAATTTCAATAACTCGGGATACTTTCTTTGCCCCAAGTATCTGAAAAGTTGAGGTTAGATGACGTTGCCTACATGATGATTGTGTTTAAAGAAACAATACGAGTTTGATGAAAAAAATTATATTACCTGAAATATAAAGTTCTATACATTTGATGAGCTTCATAATAGTTTCCGGAATTTATTGATGACTCCAATTTTGATAAAACTCTTTCTACACCGTGACTGCGTTGCGAGGCCATGTTTACATTATTTGGAGATTTTTGACGTTTACTCAAAGCGTTTGTTGGTATAATGCAGTGTTGGCAACAATGCATAATCTAGATTTATTTTGGATAGATTCGATTTTCTGGCGGAGAATTTAAAATTAGATTATAAATATTTTTTTTAAATACTATGTCTAATATGGAAATAAATTTAATAATCCGAAAATTGTACTTACTCGAAATATTATTAACACTCACAGTAAAAAAATAAAACAGCTGCGACTTAAACAATCGCAATGCTGAATAATAAAATATAAAACAAAAAAATACCCGAAAAATTTGCAATAGCAAATAAATAAAAAATTTGTAATTTAAAATTTATTCTCTAATTTCTCAAATAGTTAACATGTTACATAATTTAATTTCAATTTATACAAAAAGTGTTAAAAAATAAATCAAATTAATTAAAATGTTAACTAATTTGAGTAGAGATAGTTGGGACATAATTTAATTTTTTGTAATAGTAGTAAAATTTTCATATATAATAAATATAGATTAATAGTTTAATAATTATAAATTAATAGATTAAAAATATAATAAATTACACATTCCTGAAAAAATGAATGATTATCAGAATTAAAAAGAAATATTGCTCACCACGATGATTCAACTGAAAATAATGATCTATTAAATCAAACGTTCACAAAACATTTAAGAAACATTCACAAAACATTAAAATGTAAGACAACATAGTGACAAAAAATAATAAAAGATGAAGTACATTTTCACTGGTACTCCAGTTACTTGTTTTTTACTTACATTTTTTTCACCCGATTTCCCTACCTATTGCTATATTTAAAACGAACATAAATGCCTATTTTTCCCGAATTTTCTACCTACATTTATATTCTAAACGAAACTAATACCGCCCAGGTGCAAAATGACCTACACTAGGGTTAACGTCCCGGGACGTTACCGTCACCTGAGCGATTTTTTCTGAAAAGAAAACATTTAATTAGTCCATAATTGAAAAAATTATCAAAAACTTTTAATTTTTAATTCCACATGCATTAACTTTTATCTTTTGAAAATAAAATTTACTATTCAAAATTGAAAAATTGTTAACAAAATTAATTAATTAAATTATTTGAAGTTAATAACATTTTATAACTTTAGTTTAAATTACTTTTTTATAGAAAGAAAATTACTTTGACTCGATAAGAAAAATTACAAAACATTAAAAATATTAAACACACAATAAATAACATACATATTATATAAACAATGAAAAGGAACATTGACAATAATATTAGTTTACGTAGTATTAAGGTAGTAATCCACAGAACATGTAACATTTTAGGATGTGGGGAGTGTTAGAAATTTTGAGGGGCTAAATTTCCGAAAATATCATATGCTTTTTTTAGATTACTCCTTAAAATTACCAGAAAATAATAATTTTGTCAATGGTGTCACTATGTTGTTTTTTCCTTCCCTGTTTTTTTTTTAATTTTAATATTTTTTTTGAATCAATATGATATATCTACTTTTTTTAAAAGTAAAAAAAATTCAGAAATTTAGAAATTAAAAATATCTAAAAAAATTAATTTTCAATTTATAAATCTACTTTAATTAAATTGATAAAAAAATAACTGTTTTAAACAGGGAAGGGGTTAAATAAAAAACGACTCACCGATCGGCGAATCCCACGTCGGGGCAAAAGTTATATCGCCACTTCTCGAGCGCTTCAGGCCTGCTCCCGAGGATCCCTCTTTCTTGCGCGCACTTCTGCGCGAGGCCGGGAGCGTTAAAAAAAATCTTATAAAAAAAAATAAAAAAGAAAACAAAAAATTTTATTAAAAAAAAGTATGCAGGGGCCACTTTTCTTCCTCCACATCCTTCCTGTCCTTCAACTTGTTTATTGGGCATGGACTGAAAAACACTGAAACAATAAAAATTAATTAAAACTTAAATAATTTACAACTATATTCTAAAATCCTAATAAATATTGACAATATCCTACAAAATTTACATTATTGTAATAATGTTTAAAATTAATCAACTTACCTATTGTGAATTTTTTCGTCGTGTTAAAGATATGATGACACCATACTCTCTCTATCTCTTTCAATAGATGAAAGTTTCTTCCCTGGAATAGACTGAAAATGAAAAAAAACATGTCATATGTAAAAAAAAGGATTCCTAATTTAATTGTACAGTTAATTATTACAATTGATCCCAAAATTATTTATTTAAAATAATAAATAAAGTCATCAATCAATAAATTTTGTTTCTTTTTATCACAATTAATATTTCTAATAAAAAGATTTTAAAGTATTGAAAACTATTTTTTACTAGTACTACATATTATTTAAAAAAGGATATTTTCAATAATATCTATTTATTATAATTATTTCTAATTTTTTAAATTTTACTTTGTTCCAAATTAACCAATGAAAAAGAATACTTACAATTTGCGATTTTTCGCGACGTGTTAAAGGTACGATAACTGCTAAATCTTCCTGTTACTGGACCAACTGCCTGAAAAAAATAATTCATTATATTATATATGTAAAATAAAATTTTTAAAAAATCCTGAATATTGTCAATTATTAGATTATTCTAATAATTATTATTATTATTATACTTTTAAATATTTAAATATTTATAAATGTTAACATTTGATATTGTAGTAATCGTCATTTACAAATACTAAAATAAATTTTAATTATACATATTGTTATTTCTAAACGTTTAAACAAATTAATTTTGTTAATAAATTTATCAACTTACATTGAACTGCGACTCAGCAATGCCAGATCTCCTCCAGGAGCAGCTCCGCAACAAACACCCATCCTTCATGATTGAACACCTAGAAATTGCAAAAAAAAACTATTTTATACAAAAATTTTAAGAAAAAATGAGTTTAATTATTTCTCAGGTTAATTTTATAAAAAAATTGCTATTAAAATGCAAGGTAGTTTTTATAAACAAATATTCACCTGAGTTGAGAAGAATTGATGACGTCGAAAGGAAAAACATATTTTTGCTTCTCTTTTTTTGAGATTATTTTATTCCATCATTCAGCCCTGTAAATAAATAAAGAAAAAAGTTAAATAAACATAAGAATTAAATTTTTAAATTTTGTCTCTAAAATACGGTGGACAAATATCTCAACAGATGTCGAATTGACTTGTGAAATTGGTTATATAGTATTTTTTTAGGTTAAATTCCAGTGTCATTAAATTTGACAAAATATTAAAAATTGTAATATTTATCAACAAAAATTAGTTAAAAAATTGAATATTTAGATAAAACTGAATTTAAGTATTAAAATATATTTGTAATTTACGTTAAGGTTAAAGATAATTTTATTTTTCAGAAAATATTCTGTAAATTTCAACAACACTCTCCACTGTCCAGTATAGTAAGCAGTGATACCAACCAAAACGAAAAAAATACCAACCAATTAAATTTCTACCAACATAATTAGAAATTTTATTTAAATACTTTTTTCAATTGTAATATTTTTTTTATTTTTCAATTTTCTTAATAGATTAACTACTAATTATTTTTTTTTTTTACTTTCTGAAAAATTCAAGTTGCCCGAAAATGCTTTCAAGCGGAGGTAATATGAAGTAACAATATATGCAACAATACCCAACAAGTTGTAATGCCAAAATTTATAGGTTATATTTTTGTCAAAAAAGTTTTACCTATATTTCATATTTTTCTTCACAGCTACCACAATACTTTTATGCATTTTCGATTATTTATATAAAAACTTATTTATTTAACGAAAAGTATGTATAATTAGCGCTATGATTAATAAAATACTAAAAGATTAAATTTTGCAGAACCAAAAATGCATCTCCTACTTTCTGACGACGCCATTTGCAATAAGGAGTAATGCCAACCCAAGATAACAAAAAACTAAAATTTTCACTTCTACCAACATGACATGCTCACTTGGAAGTTCACGTGATTGGATGGTACTGTTCTTGCTTACCAATCAGAATGAAGTATTTTTTTTGCCAAAATGTATAATCGCCTTTAAGAAAAATTGCAAATCGCGCCTCTGTCGGTCTAAATAGAAAGTTCTTTTCGCGAAAATAATTGTCCCGATTTTCTTTTATTGTTTGCAAATGTACAAATAAAGAGTTTTAATTCAGCAACAATACAAACTAATTAAAGTGATTAGTGTTTAAAATTGATATGTGATTTTAAGAAAAGTTTATGTGAATGGCGAGAGCGTGTGAAATTAGGGTAAAATTTTAATTGTTGTATATGTCTCTTAAAAAGGGGGCGGTGCCTGCTTTAATTTTTTTCTTTTATTGTATTTTGATATCCGCGCCCAACAAATATCAATTGATGCAACTATGTAATATTTTTCCCTTTTTGTATAAACAATTGGGGAATTTGACTAATAATTTCTCTTTTTTGTTCATTTTACTTGTTATAAACAATAAAAGAATTTTTTTTAAATAATTACAATTTTTGGTTTATTAATAATTACTTATTTAGAAAAAAAAATAATTGAATAAAAACTATTATTATTGGTTATTGAATTTATAAATTATTCAATAGTTAAATTCTATTGTTATTAGTAGTTTTTTAATTATTTTTAAAAATATATTACATTTTTTTGCTAAATTCGCGATTGTTTTAATAATTAGATTTGCAACTTCGAATTATTCTTATTTCAATAAGATAATTATAATAATTTTATACTTTTACAGAATGGATTTAGTGGAAACTATGAAAACCATAGTCGCTAAAGGAATGCAAACAGAAATGGGTCCACCAGGAGGAGGTTCTGGATATCCAGCTGCCGCAAGTGGTGCTGGATATATAACTGAAAAAATGTACTCACTACTCCAATGTTATCTAACAAACAAGGGATGGAATCAAAGCATCGAATTACTACAATACTTAACAGAAATGAAAGAAGCTTCTATGGTACCAAGTCCAGCCTATCTTCAGTAAGATTATTTTTATGTTATTTTATAATTATTAAAATTTTTATTATTACTATCGTTTTAATCATATTGTATTTTAATCATTTGTAGAATGGTAGCACAGAGAGTGGCTATGGATTCACAAGGACGACTTGTTCTTCGAGAGAATGGCAAAATAATTCTTCCCTTTGAACACTTTGCAAATGCAGTGATGATTAAACACATGAATGGACCACATGGAATGCATGTCACTTTAGAAGGAACTGTTCGCGCAGTAATGGAATCATATACAATTGGCCGCGAATGTTTTGGAATGGAAAAAGAATTTATTGTCGAAGTTGTTCAAAATTGTCCAAATGAAGCATGTCGATTTTATAAAAATCAATTGGAACTCACACAAAAAATAGGATCAATGCGTCCAACTTATATTCAGGACAACGAAACAACAGCTTCTCTATTACGATCATCCTTCCCACATTCTTCCGATTTGCAGGTTTACTTCTCTTTTAATCTTTTCTCTTTAATTTCTTTATTCTTTTTCAAAAATATTTAAATGCTAAAAATTATTTTTACAGGCACTAAGTGGACCAAATCAAAATCAACTAATGGGTGGATCGGGAGCCGATTTCACTGAGATGAGAAGCAGTGTAAATCCAATGATTCAACGACCACCGAGTCGTCCGTCCCTAAATATTCCACATCGGCCTGGTCCTCAAGAAAAGAAACAAGCCACCAAACATTATGAGCCATTAATTCCAAATATTCCAATTTCAGAAACGCACAAATTAAGTGACTTTTTACGAACGAATTTGGAAAATATTGAAGGAATCAGTGGTGGACTTGGTTTGGGAAATTCTAATAAAGATTTGCTCGCTTTACACAATGGTGCTTGGCCATTGTCAGAAGCTGACAATAATTTTCGTTCACAATCAACAATCTCAGAAGGTAGAAATTCTTCTTTTTTTATCTACCTTATTTGTCTTATTAATTTTTAAAAAATGCAAATTTTCATTTAAGCGAATTGTTGTTAAACCGAATTTTAATTTTTTAAAAATAGATTTTAAAATAAACTTACTTTTCAGGTGGTCAGGAGAAAATTGTAAGAGGTTTTCAGGAGATGATGAAGAATATTTACAAAATGAAAACCTGTGTTCGTCCATCGATGTGTAAACCCTATGGCAAACAATCGGAGGCTCTGCAAAAGAGTAATTTATTTAATTAAAAAATTTCGTTCACATTTTTATTTTATTTAACAATAAAATAAAACAATTATCAAAATTGTTTTCAATTTGCAGCTCTGGTTGACACCATTCAACTCGTGCAATCATTAAGAAGTTTCTTGCCACCCCCACATATTCCCGTTTCAAGTTGGAAAAACGAAGACAAACATCGTTTAGATCACAGCACCATTCAGTACCTTCCATCATTGTAAGTCTTTGCTTTTAAAATTTTTATATTTAAAAAAATATGCAATAAAAATTATTTTTTAATTAATAACCAAAATTTTTATTTTTAACAGAAAAGCCGGATTGGACGACATTTGTGAACAACGAAAACGGGACTGAGTAATATTATTCCAATTCACAGTGTTCTAGTCAAATTAAGTCACTGAATGGAAATAAAAAGAAAAAAAAATAAGAAATGGCTTGCTCAAAGATATTGGCGTTTAGGACTTTTGTTTTGTAGGAGAAAAAAATCGAAGACATGCGTGGACTGTGATAAATATGGATACTAAACCAAACAGAAATTTTTTTTTGGCGTAAAGGAGGTAAAATTTTCTATTATATAATATTAATTTTTGTAAGATACAATTTTTAAGATGAAAAAAATTGTAACTTGTTTTGTGGTGCTCGTCAGAATGACGAACAAAGATTTTCCTTTTTTAAAAAATTATAATTTTGTGTAAATAATTTTGTGACATATCGTTTCTTTTATATATATTGTTTGAGTAGTGAATATTTTATATATATACAAAAAACAAAATGAAATTCGACTAGTCAATGAAATTGAAAACAAAAAAATCGAAGGCTTTAAAATATCATTTTACAAATATTGAAAAAAGAAAAAGAGTTTCTAATAAAATTATATTCTAGTCGTATACAATATTTATATATATGTAATTCAGAAGAAACCATTGACATTATAAAGGAACAAAAAATTAGGGATTAAAATATTTCGGTAATATGCATATAGATAATTGTGCACTCTAGTTGTTTACTTCTCATGATTATTATATGTGAGAAATTAATATTTAAAAAAATATATATATATGTTTTTGGCAACTAAAAGAAAAAAAACTATAAATTATTGTTAATGTTTTTCTTTTTATTTAATGTGTAAGTACATTCGGGACGATGCAAGACAAGTTTCTAAAAAAATTCTATAAGCTCCACAGGCAGGATTTCATATTTTCAAGATCAATGTAGTATCAATATTTAAATTCTCATATACTATTTGACTAGAAGTATTAAAATGTTTGTCATTACGCTTTTTTTAAATATTATATTTTATAAAATCTAACTTTTGTAAAAAAATTTTTAAAAAATGTTTTAAATATGTTTTTATAAAAATATCATAAATAAAAACCATTATTTTATGATAAATAATAAGAATATAAAATACATAAATATATGTGTAAAGAAAAATTAATTTGATTATTTATAATAAGAACAACTTCATTATTTATAAGAAATTTATTCTTTATAATAGGATATAACGTTATTATTTGTAATTAGAATAATTTTACTATTAATTTTTTATGACTTTCAAAAAAGCGTATTGATTTCTCATTAAAATAAAACATTGAAAAACCTGTTGAGTTTTAACATTATTAGTTTTTGTTTTTAAACTTTAGCTATACGTTTATATCTTTAATATTCGTCACGCAAATACTGTAAGGTAAATAGATTACAATTTAATCGAAAAATGCAACATAAAGATATAATCGTTAACATAATTGTTTAGCACACTATTTTTTATTATTATTAAAAATAATAATCTTTTTGCATTACATAGAGTTAATATACTCTAAAAGCATTTAAAATATAAAAATCTTCATGTATGAAAATAAGTAAATATTAAAAATTCATCGAATTGTCATTAATTGAAATTTTCTATATAAAACAATTTTTTCAAATATAATATAAATTACAATTTTTTATATTCTACGATTAAATTATCTACATTAAGGTCATTTTCATGTTTATTATCTGGTTGTATCATTTAAAAAAACAGTCTTTTTAAAATATTTCTTCATGTGTTCGAAGATAAAATATGATAGATAAATTGAAAATATACCTTATTGTATATTAATTTATTATGCATTCTTATTTTGTAAACAATAGTTATGTTAAATATATTTTCTATCTACTGTAACATTAACTTTGGATGCATTGTAAAAAATTTTAGTAACAAATAATTAATACAATTTGTTGAGAAATTTAGGTAAATAGTAAAATTCGATGCATCCAAGAGTTTGAATTATATTTCTTTTTTTATTATATGAGTTTTATCTAATGATTATTATAAATATATATATTTCCAGTCTTGATTTCAAAATATATTTAAAATAGAAATAAAAAGCATATCCCATGACAGAAACCGTGTTTACCAAAGAATTTGTGTAAAATCGAGAACAAGATGTTTTAAACGTATTTTATATAATATGTAATTCAAGTCTTTATATCTGTAAGAACACGGAAGACATGACGCGATTTTTGGATTAAATCGGCAATATGTTTTTTTTTAATATAAGAATGCATTTACACAGAAGATCATAAATTATATGATTGTCTCAAGATCATTCCCAATATATCTATGTAGAATTTCATTTCAACTAAACGTTTCTTCTATTTCGAAGATCTCAGATCTAATTCCAATTTTACAGCCGTAAAAATTCAATTTCATATCAAAGTTGAATTTCAATTTTAAATTAAATTTTTAGCCAAAGTTTAATTTAAAGGAAAATTCAAATTAAATTTAAATTTTATTTCAATGATAACAATACAAAATTTAAATAAATAAATAAATAAATAAAGGTTTTTAGTTGAAATGGAATTCTATACATTGATATATTTAATATTTCTAAAGATCTAAGAATCTTAAAAAATAATGCAAAAAAATGAGATTTTCCAATAGAATTTCCAAGTTTCGCGTCTTTTTCTTCAACTACAGCAACATGCTAACGTAACTGTGGTAAATAGTTACCAATTTAAAGCACTCCAATTACTCCGATGGTTGTCAAATATTCCATTCAATTCAATTCAATACACGAAACGAAAGAATTACTTTTAAATTAAAATATATATTAAAATTTACATAAGAATAATTTAAAAGTACCAATTTTTAATAAACGAAATAGTAGAGTTAATTTTTAGATAAAGTAACTAACAATAAGTACATGAAAGAATTTCATAATTAAACAAATACAAAATTTATTAATTATAAAAGCAAAAGAAAAAATAATAGTACATTAATAATTAAAATTAATTCAATTATTAATTAATTTTAGTTGTTAATATATTAATTTTTTAAGTTTATTGTTTCGAATATTAAAAATTTGCTTTTAAACATTTATATATTCTTAAATAAAAAGTAAATTTCTTTCTGTTTGTGTCACCAATTGAATTCTAAATTGCATATATTAAATGTATAACAGATAAATGCAATGTTAGTAATTGATTCACATATACTCACAAAACATAATGTTCACCAATGCTGTCGCTATAACTAAACACTAACTCGTCGTCGCTTGTCAGTATTGCTCTCCTGTATTCACGCGTCATTAATTCAAAAATAATAATTAAAACCTTTTAACAAGCGTGACACTGCGTTTTATTTAATTTTCTACAATCTAGGCTTCATTCTGAAAAAAGGAAAAAATTATTCTATTAAAAAAAAATCTTAAATATTCAAAATTAATAATATTTATTTGACAATTTAATTATTTTCTTTAGTAAGTAATCAAGATTTTTTAATGGATGGCAGCAAATTTTAATTTTTTAAATTCTCTAACTAATTATTAATTACTGATTGTAGAATTTTCAAATTATTTAAAATTTAATTTTTCCTTATCTGCGGCCATTCTTATTAAAAAAAAAAATAAAATAAAATTCAGTCTTATTTCTTGAAATTCTTATCAAAAAATGAAAAATTATTATTCGTTGAAATTAAAAATAAATCAAAATAACGACGAATATAAAAAAAAATAGTGTTATGAGATTCTATCATTTTAAGGCTAGATAATTACTTCTTGAGCTTCAAGAACAAAAATATAATCGTTGAGAAAATAATAAGATTGCGCCAAATCTCCCTCGCAGAGATAAGGTAATTTACTCCAGGCAAGACATTTCAGCCCTAAAGGTGAAAAAACCCGATCAATTAAACTGGCAATTTGTCCATCAATTCCTGATCCTTTAATTGGCAAATATTCTGATGGCTTGTGATCACTTCGGCCTCCAACTTCCACGTAAGGGCTGAATGGTAACACTAAGGCTATAATCAATCGACCACCAGGTGCCAATGATGATTTCAATTGTCTCAACAATAAATTAGGCTTGTCACATCGGTCCAGTAAATTTAGAGCAAGAATTACATTAAATGGTCCTGCATTTTCATGCCATTTCTCCACATCCAAAACTCTGCTCAAAAAGAAACAATTTTTTTATTTTTAAAAAAAACATCAAAATTCATTAATTAATTTCATTTTCTAGGTGCAATTAAAATTATAATCAGGAATAAATTTTCAAAAAGGAACAAAAAAAGAATAATCCACGATACAAGATTTAGAAATCTTTCTTGTTCATTCAGAATATATAATTATAATAAAAATAATAAAAAATATTTGTAATTACCGATCATATATTATGTTCAAATAATACGTCTTATTTGAAAAATTCTGTACTTGATAGTGGGTCACTTTTGCAGTCAATGCAAAAAAATTGTCAAAAAAAAAAGGAAACAAAATCTTTTTTGTAATTTTTTTATAACAAGCGATCAATTTCACGTGTCTCAACAAACGGGACCTTATAAAATTGACAATTATTTTAATTATAATTTTCCAAACGTAGAAAAATATATCATTTCGCGCGCCCAAATGAAGATTGACAAAAATATTCGCTTTCAAGTATAGGGGGAATTTTATTTTTTTTTAAGAAATTGTGACTTCGCGAATACGACGTCTAAAATATTGAATCAAGTTTCAAGTCTTGTGAGGTCCTTGAACTATGTTATAGTATATATAGTCGAGGTTGGATAAATAAGTTTCTATAAAGCGTTACGAGTTCGTCGCAATGCTTATTTGAAATTCCAGTGGCAATTCGAGCTACTCGGTAGCGTCCCTTTTATTCCAAGTTTAGTTGGTTTTGCGCGTAAAACCATCGTAAAGTTCTACTCCAATCAATCTCGTATGGTAAACTTGTTAGTGCGCAGTGATAGTGTGTGTATATACTCTCTTTAGACACGTCTAATGTCTCAAGTGAGTGAGTGGTGTCAATTAAGACCTTTTCTCGAATCAGCAACTTGAGATTTTTTTTTTTGTTTAAACCGAAGACGAAATCCTATTCGCGCTTATCTGACTGATTTGTTTAGAGATAGATGCTGATTTTTCCGATTCACATATAAATTAGAAATTCACTACTAACGCTTTCGACTTTATTCAACGTTTCTGAACTTTCGGATTTCACTTATCTTTTTTTTTTTTAATAAAATTAAAGACGAATATTTTTTAAAAATTATGATTCCGAATTTACAATAATTTGAAATTCATGTGTGTTAAATATGAAAATTGTGTTAAACAAAAATTCGTTTAAATAAATATTTTGCTAAGTGAAAATTCATTTAAATGGAAATTTTATAAAATAAAAATTTGTGTTCCGTAAATACGAATTTTTGGAATCTTTTAATTGGTACTTTCGAATAAAAATTATAAAATAAGAGCCAAAATTATATGAATTTAAAATTTTTCCAAAAAATCTGAATACAGTTATTAAAAATAAAAGTATAGAAACAAGAAAAAAAAATGCAAATACATACATGTACTTTCGTTTTTGCAAGGCCCATCTCATTGGAGCGGAAATATCAGTCGTGAATACTTTTCCAAATAGTTCAGCAATATTTGCAGTTATTGCACCGTCACCAGCACCTAAATCTAAGAGTGAAGTCCATGGTCCTTTATAGTTGGATTCATCTATTAATTTCTGAAATTGTTCCCTCGAAAATACATGCATGGATCCACGGCCCAAGAGTCTGTGAAAAAAAAGTTTTCTTAATAAAAATTATAAAAACCAAATCTTAAATTCTAAACACTCGTAATTAATTAAAAATAATATTAAAAGAAAAAATAAAATTTTCCGGACAACATTTAATTAATTTTTCATAATTGAAAATAGTTTAAATAAAATAATGTCAGTACAAATACTTTGTAAAAAAAAAAAAATGTCCACATTGAAATAAAAAATCAAAAAAAAAAAAAAAAAGGAAAAAATCCTTCGATGGAATTGATGTGGATTTAGGAGTAGAGAATCGATGATCAAGGCCACAGTTTGAATCGAAGGAAAAAGGCGGTTCATTTGAAAATACTTGGCCTGATGCGCTGAAAAGGATCAAGGGAGCGTCACCATTGCGATTGGCGATCCATCAATGCCCAGGAACGCAGGATTTTGATCGTGGATTCGTTTTACCAACTGCAATATAAATAAGGCGATGGGGTTCCCCTCTTCAAAATTCGTTTGGTCGCGGTCGGTGCCATCAATTAACGAGCACCTCTTCGCGAGCCGCATTGAATAATAAATAAAAATGTAAAGAAAACGAGAAACGAAACGCGTATATATATATATATACATACATACAAGAAATGGAAAGAAACATGAGGAGAAGAAGAAAAAAAAAGAAGATGAAATCAAATATATATAAAGGGAAGATACGATCAAATGGAAAATAGATGACAGAGAAAGAGACAGAGAGAGAGAGAGAGAGAGAGTGGATAATGACACTGGCGAAAGAATTACAAAAGAATATATAAAATAATATTTTCAAAAGTTTGCATTTGAAAAAAATTCGATTTTTGAAATTCTCAAAGTCCATAAGGATTAAAATTATTATATTTATAAAATAAACTGTTCTGTCATAATTTTCTTAATGCGAATTTCAAAAATCATTTTTTCTTATTAATTCTACTAAAAAAAAATATTTTTATTAAATGTTAATAAAAAAAAGAAATGACAAAAATAGGAGTGAAAAATAAAAAACAGAATTTTTCAAAGGACTAATAATAAAAATGAAAATTAAAAGAAAAGAATGAGAGTGTGGGCAGATAGGGAATCTTTCTTTCTCTCTCTCTCTCTCTCTAAAGTTGTGTGCGCGCATTGTTCAATGCCGCGCTTCTCCATATTCCCTATGTTGCAGATCCTTATTTTCCATCCTCGCAAGAGCAGCCGCTTCTTCGCGGCCTTTCGCAACCTCTTTTCACTTTTTTTTTTTTTTTTTTTCATTTTACTTTTATTTGATCTTATTGGCAGCCTCCGTCGTTGTCTCTACGGGGCCCCACTGTCTTTCGTTGCTGCTGCCACGTACCATCGACAAGGTCCCCTCTCGTTTTTCGGGTTCGGGGAATGAAGGAAGGAAGAGAGAGGCACACAACACACGTGCGGCTCACAAATCAGACCCGCTGATCTTATATAGAGGGTCGCTCTTCTCCTGGCATCGACGGCGGCGCGAGCGACAATTAATTCACCGCTTTTGCGCTCTCGCGAACTTCTCTTCCCTCCCGCACCCATTGTATCTTCAGAGGGGCCTTACTTCATTCCCTTTACTCTTCAGGGTCCCAAAAACAGTCCGATTTCAATGTTTCTTGCTCTTTCATTACTGGCAAGGACTATACACACACCATTCTCTCTCTCTCTCTCTCTTTATCGAAGAAACTCAGCCAACGCTCCCTCAATCAATTTATCTTTTATTTCGTTTCGCGTTTCTTTTTTATTGTGTTAGCTTGTGCCCATAATTTGGACTCCGGCGACGCGCGGTCTAGCGGCTTCGTTTGCGTTTTTCCTCGCGCAAAGAGAATTCCCCCTCCTTTTTTCTGCGAATATATATGAAGAAATGTGAATGAGGAATATTAGAAGCGAATTCGTCCAAAGGGGGGGGGGGGTGGTTTGATAAGGGATCCGCTGCGGATTGTGAGGAATTGAGAAAAATCTTGAAAGGTTGTAATTTGGAAGGATTTTATAAATATTTCCATTTGAGGGACATTTTTCAATATTTTGTTTTTTCTTTTTGGAAAATATTTTTTTTTTACTTTCTCTTTTTATGAAACTTACACAGAAAATTAAAAGGCATTAAGATAATAAGCGTTGCAGCTTATTTTAATGCCTTTTAATTTTCTGTGTATTTGTTTATCTTTATAGAGACAAATCAATTCTTTTTACATTTTCGAATATATAATTTTTCCTATATAAAAATTTAGTAAATAATTATTTTATACAAGAATAAATTAACATCTCATAAATAAATTCGGAAATAATAAAAATAAAAAGTACATTGAAGAAGCAAAAAAATGATTTCTAATTCGAGAATTATTTAATCCTCCTCCTCCTCCCCCACCCCCCTTCTCAATTCATTTATGATCCATCTGTCTTCACCGTAATTCTTTTGTTGAAACCAGCAAAATAATATCACACACACGCAGCAAAACAAGTTTCGCTTCTATATATCCCAAAAGTGCAAATAAATTAAAAATTGTATCGCTCTTTTTTTGAGCATAGAATTTTTTTTTTCTCTCTCTCATTTTTGTGTGGATCAAGAGAAAAAAAAAAGAAGAGGAAGGATACTTCGAGCCCTTTTCTTTTATTCGCGCGCCACACACAAATATATATATATATATATGTATGTACTTACACCTATACAAAAAATCGAGAAACGAAGTCGCCGCGCAGCAAAATCTACGAGGGCACACACATTGGGATTTGCAAACAATAGGCTTCGAAGCAGGGTGGATTCTTTCGATGGCGGTTGATACGCATCGCATTTACATATTATTGCTATTATTAGGTAAACGGTCCTCGAAGCGCCTCTTTAACACTATGAACTCGCCCTTTCGAGGTATTTTACGAGCAAGCGCATATTTTGAATGCAAGCGCAAAACTCTCTCGCGATATAACCAAGAGAAACCGCGAAAGAAAAATTAAAGTATATAGTTTGCGCCGTCTATTTTTCTTTTATTTTTTTAACAAACTACCTACACACAAACAAACAAAAAAATATATAAGAGTGGGTGGAAGTTGGAATGGTAAATAGTCGTAAACCGTATCCATCTTATATATATATACAAGGTGCGAAAGTCGCATGGTCACGATCGTTGCGAGAAACTGTACTCTATCATTCGTTAGCTCGTAAAATGCAAAATACACTTGCGCATCCGACGCGGTAAACGAACTTTTAGACATGGTCGATTTCCTACAAAATATTCTCCTGCTTCAAGTAATTGAGAAACTCAAAAAAAGTTTTCTTTTGAATGAAAGAAATTTTTTTTCAAACAAATAAAATTTTCGAAAAAAATACGGAAAAAAATCTTCATCTGGAAGAGCGATATGTTTCTTTAGAATAGCGAAAACTTTATTTCTTTTAGTGAAACATATTATACTTAAGTTATAATAATTGATATATTTTTTTTGATAGGATGAATTTTCTAAAAAACGACGTTTTCATTAAATCATCACATTCTTGTGTGTGTTATATAAATGCGAATCGATATAAACTTCAAACGCGCTCTCATATATTTATGTGCTCTGAGATTTTATATACCCGAGCACATATATATACAAAGAGAGTATGAACATGTGTTTTTTTTTCTTTTGATTATTTTTCATTTATTATGCGTGCTTCATAATATTATGCAAATATCAATAACGAAATTCTACTCCTCGAGAGTTTCAATTTCTTTTTGCCTACATCCCTCACAGAACGAAATAACGCATATACAGACCAGACTGCATGCCGCCTCGTTGGCATTCAGTTTGTTAAAAAAAAAAAAAAAAAAAAAAAATTCTCCTACCCAACCTAATAATGATTCACTTGGAATTTGTTTTTACTCAAAAACCCAAGGCTTGTTAGAAAATGATAATAAGAATTTAAGAAGCCCTTTTAAATTCCCAATTAAATTCCAAACACTAATAAATAAAAATTTAAATATAATTATGAAGAAAAATGAGTTTGCTATATCACGAATAGCTAATTTTTAGTTATTTGAAGCTCATAATTAGGATAGCTAATATTTAGTTGCTGTAACATTCGTTACAAAACAGAAATATTGAGATAAAATAAAATTTATTTCAAGCAAATAAAAATATATTTGTCTCAGAGTCTAATTTTATTTGAAATAAAAAAATTCATTTAACACAAAATTTATATTCTACTCAAATAAAATTTTATTTGAAACAAATATATATTTATTTGACTCTAAGACGAATATTATCTTTTTTCTGTGGTGTATTATATGTATGGCTTCATTCTTTTTTGTAATTGATGAATTGAACTAAAATTGAAAAACATAATATATGCAATTTTTTTTTTTAATCGAGAAAAAAATATAATAGAGAGGAAAAGAAAAGAATAACAAAAATTTCCATGAATCTCACGGAAGCCAAGATAAAATTCATGACTTTCCGGTGAACTGCAAACGTTTGTCAGCCATCTGCTCTGAAAAACCACTTCACTCCCTGACAATATCGAAATCTCCGATATAAATGGAGGAATGGGGTATTAATATCTCGAAAATCACACTGCATGTACTTCAATCTCAAGAAGCATGATATACATGCATATATATATATATATATATATATATATATATATATATATATATATATATATATATATATATATATTATATTATATGCTATATATATACAGGTGAAAAAAAAGAGAATAGAATTGGGCGAAGGAACGCGAAATAAAACTAAAAGAAGGAAAAAGAAATATGTAAGAGGAGTGGAAGAGAATGAGAGTCAAGGGTCTTTCACTTCGCGATATCATCGCGACACATTCTTTTCTCCTCTTTCTTTTCACTCGCGATTATACAATCGACGTTGTGCGCGGACACGCGCGCATTTCAATTTCTCCTTTAAATGTGTCGGACATATAGGACTTTTTTTTAAAAAAAATTACATTCTTAATATATTCACAAGTATATATATATGTGTGTATGTTACATATATATGTAATATACATTATTTGAAAATGTAGATAATGTA